CCGTGCCCGCAGCGCGCTTCCTCCGACGGTGCGACGGAGCGGCCGGACGGAAGCCGAGAGGGGGCGGAGCCGCGCGCAGCATCGCGCGAGCCGCTCGGAGGCCGGACGGGCCAGAGGGGCGGGGCGCGAGTAGAGGCCCCGCCCACAACCTCTGAAGCTCCGCCCACAGGCCTTGAGGTTCCGCCCTTCCCGCGCGTAGCCCCGGCCCTGAATCCAAATCTGTGGAAAGCCAGTTCCTGTTTTGGGTTTTGGGGGTGGGGTTTGTTTTGGTTCGGGTTCATTTGGTTTAAGGTTTACAGTACTTTGAGTAACCTTTCCACAAAACCACGTTTACTATTTTAAGCCACTACCAAAAACCCTGACACTGACAGCTACACTAACGTGATGCTTCTGTAATTTGCATCCTTCAAATATTTATTTTTTGCAATAGAGTAATGTAAAAATCGCAAGACGTTGTTCAATTGCTGCTTTGAAAAAATAATTTAACCGAGAAAAAGATATTCATTTAATTATATTAACTATTGTACTGTGGAAAGACATTTCTAGAAAAATAAAGCATATACAATACAGTATGTACTATTTTCTCTGGATGTGCATCTACATGAATATGAAATCGTGTCTTGTGTCAATGTAGGGAATGTATCCCTTTAAACATGAATTTTTTTATATCTGGATCGAACTCAGGATCTCGTGCTTGACAGGCAGGTGCTCTGCTGCTGAGGTATATCGCTGGTCCTAAACATGAATTTTTAAACTAAAAAACACAATGACAAATATATGACAGTCTTTGAGGAATATCAAATGCCACATTTACTCACATGCTAAATATTTTTAAAAGTTATTAAAATAGCATCTGAAGCAGCTTCAATAGTTTTTAAAGGGATTATATATCAAAAATTGAGAAAGGTTTAGATGAAACTGATTTAATTTATTCATTTATTCCACAAATACACCCTGAATGGCAATGTTTGTAGCTTGGGAAATACAGTTTTATGGGAAAACTGTAAATTTGCAGAATCAAATCATATAATGAAGCTGTGGAGTATACACTTGAAAGAAACATGGAATTCTTTTGTCATAATAGTAAACTGGAATAAATGGTTTAACATCAAACTCAAAAAATGTTTAGTAAATTCATTTAGTGCTGAGTAAATGTATTTATGGTTAGTAATGCAGAGAAATTTTTAAAAGGTACCTTGTGCAAAATGATTATTGTCTCTTTTTTTTTGCCTACCAGAGCTTAAGACAGAATTGACGATACAATCAAGTAAATGACTGTTATTGTGGTCCAGGGTTACCCAAGGAAAAGCACGCCTACCTAGCGAGGAGAAGCACTCAGCGAAAGGCATCCTGAAAAATGCTTAAATCTTGACAATAAAGTATCTGGACCAGCTGGGTAAGGGCAATGGGGAGACAGCGGTTTGTTTTAATAGAACATTAAAATGGAACTGAGAAATGAATGAGCTGGGCTAGGCTTTGGTGGCAGCTCAGAGGACAGCCTTGAGGAATTAGCAAATTGTGATTTAAAGATCCGGGTTTCAAGTACTTCCTCAAAACTTGTTCCAGAAAAACAGAGAATTTCTCTAATCGTTGGAAACAAGATTTCTCGACTTTGGCACTGTGGCTTTGGGGGCCAGATAATTCACTGTTATAGAAGACGGTCCTGTGTTTTGCAGAATGTTCCAGCCTGTCTGGCCTCTACCCATTACAAGCCAGTAACAGCTCACCCTCGCCAAAATGGTGACATCTGAAATCATATCCACATGTTGCCAAATGTAACTTGGAGAGAAAAATGACCACCACTACCCATTTACTCTTGTCTCCACAGAGGCCCACGGCTCTGAAAGAAGCTCGCCTCATGAAATTGTAAAACTGATACAGCAAAGAGTCCGTGCATCTGAACTTACAGTTGACGTGTTAGGCAAGTTTATAAGAAAGTAGGATATCTGTTGGGAAAGAGTGTCACCGTGAGAACTGAGAGGTCTGCAACATGTCAGAGCCTCCCTTGTCAGCAGAACTGTCGAAGCTCTCTGTCTTATAGAAGAGACTATAACGAACGGCCTCTTGAGGCAGTTACTTGGCAAAAAGACAGTGATTCTTACATCTCTTTTTATTGTATCATCACACTGCATCCTATAATTTTTCGTGTGTTTTCCTTTTTTATTACTGTATGTTTGGAATCAGAATAATCCAGCATGATAGATAGATAAATAGATAGATAGATAGATGATAAGTATCTTATCTTTATCATTTTTCTTTTTTACACCCTCTAACTATCCCCTTCCTAAAGAAAGGCTCAAGTATGCCCCAAGGGGCAAGGGCAATTTATGACCCAGAAAGAGACAATATTTATATTTATATTAGAAACAGCTACCTTATGTTTGATAGTATTGGGGACCTGGCCAAGATCTCCAACAGCCTGTATAAGGAGTATGGCAAAGGATAAAGAAAAAAACGGAAATTTAGTGATTCATAAAAGGGGGACTGGGAGGTCGGTGCTTCAGGATGGACAGAGACAGTGACACTATTAGACATGCAGTAATTGGAGGGAGTATCAGGTGACTTAGAGGGTGGCGGTGATCTTAAACTGATGAGGATCTTACGTGATGAGGATCAGTTTGGATGACGCAGAGGGCAGCAGTGATCCTATGCTGATGTAATCTTGCGCTGGAGCATCACAGCATCACAGGACCATTAGGGCCTCCAGGCCTTAGCTTCAGTTTATAATTGTGGTCCCCAGTGTGATAGGATTATGAATTTCTTGCTATTGTTATCATCAGGAGGTTTATGTGTAAATGGATGTGTATGACTTTTGAGTAGAGTGCAGAAAACTGTGCTAGATATGTCCACTGATGTCTTAGCTACTTCTCATTTTGGAATAAAATACCTAACACTCACAAGTTAAAGGAAGAAAGGTTTATTTCAAATAGTTTGTAGAGGTTTTGATCCTGCTGGCTCCAAACCAGGGTGGTATGGCAAAGGAGAAACAGTTCAGAGCAGAGCAGGCAGGAAGCAGCAACAAGCAGCAAGGCAGCAAGGCAGCAGTGCCAAGTCTCCCTTTCCCTTTTATCCAACCAGTGGACCAGTTTAGTTATCACACCCTTAACCCACATTCACACACCTTTCATCCACATTCAAACACTCTAGATCCAGCCACCTATGAAAACCCCGCCCTATAAGCGCATTAGGCTTTGAGGGGACACCTAAATGCAAGCCATAACAACTGGTCTTCAATTTCCGCTCCTATTCACTTCTTTATCTGTATTATAGTTCCTGTTAGAATAAAACGGATATTTCTGAGGCTCCTCTAGAATAGGATTATAGATATGATTTAGATTCTCTCAATAAGATGAGCTTTCAAGGTTTGAAAGAAGTGGGGCATATTTTCTGCAGTTGTGACAGCAAGCCCTACAGGCAAGAGCTCCAGTGTAGACTGACAATTTGACTTGTTCTAGTGATAGATAAGAGTACCATAGGTGTTGGGTAGCTATGGTACAGGCAGTCACAAAACAGTAATGGTACCAGCTTCCTGACACTGGATTACAAATAAGGTTGTGGAACCCTTGAGCCGAACATCCAAAGGCAACCTCTGAATTTCTGCTCCAAGCATCCATTGATTTTTTAAATATCTAGGTCCAACTATTAAACACTTTTCTGCTTGAAAATAGAGTTGTTTCTGTCTCTAGTGCATTGTACCTTAACCAATACATAACCTCTTAAAAAAAAAGACTAAGTTGTCCAGAACAATTCTCTTCCCCTCACCTTGTAGTGCTAATTTGGCAATCCAAAAACATTTATAATCCTTTAAGGAGATCATAAATCCTTTGCAGGAAACACATGGCTGATTTTATCTTGTTGTAGTTGATACTGTCAGAGATAATCAAGAGAAAGCAATGTCAATGAAGTAAAAAATATCATAGTAAAATTTTTAAATTTTAAGAAAATCCTATATGCATCTACAGAAAAAAGACAGTTTACAAAGGAATATGAATTGTGTTCAAACAAAAATTCTCCACTGAGATTGTGGGACAGATTTATTGAGGTATAATTTATATAACATGAAATTCATCCTTTCATGCTGTACAATCCAGTGGGTTTTTTTTTTTTTTTTTTTTTTTTGAGATAGTGTCTCACTATGTAGTTCAGGCTAGCCTCCAACTCACAGTGATCCTCCTGCCTTGGCCTCCCAAGTGCCAGGATTACAAGCGTGCACCACCACTCACAGCTCAGTGGTTTTAGTATATGCAAATACTGTAATTGTGCGACCACCACCATATATAATTCCAGAACATTTTCATCACTCCCTAAAGAAATCTATACCATAAATAATTAACCCTCATTTCCCCTACACTTACCCCCTCGTAATAACAAATCTACC